CATACACCCCCAAAGTGCTCACCGAGCACCTACCTAGGACCCAGCGCCACCGCAAATCTTCAGCATGCCCTACCAGGCACCCCACGGCGCAGAGCAGGTGAGAACAGTCAAATGCTCTCAGGGCTGCCAGAAGGGCCAGGGGTACTTTCCTGATGTGAGACGTCACGGAATAGCTCTGGATGCGGGAGGAACCGGGAAGAATGAGGAACACACACTGGAGACTGAGACTACACCTCTGTCTTGACATCACAGATTGTTATTCTCAAATACGGGTCTACTGAAAAAAAACTGCAAGGACGGACAAAGAGGACCGCAATAGAATCCCAAAACCACGTGACACAACATCTTTCAGCCCAGGGCAGCTGAGTGGGTTGAACGCGCATTTCTCCCTTACAGAACCTGTCTTCTCCAGACATAGCTAAAGTTATTTTCATCAGAATGCACAACACAACAAATAATGAGATTATTGTCCGCAGGTATCAGCCCGTGTGGCCTTCGTTGTGACCGCTATCTGTAAGCCTCGATATTTTGTTAAGACTCTTGTAAAGAATTAGTCTTCGGAAATCTGCCAGCATTCATATGGCGGCACAGTCACGCTGCTTTTGTTTTGGGTTCATGTGACGAAGGCGGGTTCAAATCCCCCAGGAAGCAGGACTGCTTCAGCCCCCTCCTGTTTTCTCCGTGGACCTGTATGTGTCTTTGTAATTTTGTTACAATTGGGTGAGGCTGCCAGGAGCAGTGCAGGGATGCCCTTGGAGAATGCCTTCCAACAGTGCACTTTCATACTTCCTTTGTCATAAAAATTAGAGCAAATGGGCTTTTATATCTCCAAAAGTTGTTTGAATGGCAGAGGTTCTTATGGCGTGGGGCAAGACACGAATTCTGCTTGTGGAGTTACTCAAGGCAGCAGAGGACCTGCCTAAGCACAAACCCGCGTGCAGCAGGATTTCTCCCTCCTTGTCTGGAAAGCAGCAGGACCCTGAGGATGCTTAAGTCACTCCGGGTTGCAGATCATGCAGCCAGGGATGGCTTCCTCCCCTTTGCGTGCAGGAAGAGGAATCTTGCAAGACGCCGCCTGGACTAGCGTTTGGCAACTGTGCGACTCAGGAAGACACCAGGAAACACCACGGCCGTCTCACAGCAGCGGTAGGTTCCCGGATACTATGGAAAGGAGTACGAGCTCACCTTCTAGGTGCGCCCAGCCACGCGCTAGCAAGAGACAGCCTCGTCCCCAAGACTCCCTTCGAACGCAAAAGGGATCCTCTAATCTAGTCCTTCCTTAGGAACTGAACCCCTCGAGACCCCTGTGCGGGCACCGTAGCGGAAGCTTGCTCGTTGCTGGTGGGCGAGGCTCGGGGGCCCGTCTCAGGGTTCCCTTGGGAGCGTCGTACTGCGTCCCGGGTCTCGGCCACCTCAGAGCGGGTCTCGGGGAGGGGGTTCTCATGCAGGATGAAGCTGTGCGTCCCGACCTTCTCCGCCCTTCCGTGAAGGCAGCCGGGTCTCTCTGAAGGCTGAAGGTGAGTCCAAGTCCTTCTCTCTTTCACTGATCCCCGAAAAGAAGTTTTCAGCACTGGGTCCGAGAAACTTGCCTTGGATTTAAGCGCAGAAGAGACGGAACTGGTTCTCCTCTTTGCGACTGCCTCAGCTGGAGCACGGCCTCCGGCTCTCACTTCCGGAAAGGCGTGAGCTATTGAAGGTGTGCCAGAAGAGCGAAGGCTTCCTCTTGGGTTCGGCCAGGGCGAAGACTTGCTGCTGGGGGACGCTGGTGGGCACGGTGACATGGCGCTGGTGGAGGGGTGCAGGCCCTGGTGCGGCGGGCCAGGGGGCAGCCGCTGTAGCCTCATCGAGGGGGAGAAAGACGGACAGGGACTGAGGGTCACTTGTTAACTGAAAAGGAAAAAAAACAAAAAAGTGCAAGACTCAAAATTCTTAGCTGATTCTTAATTCACATTAACCAACAGAACTTCTAGTAGCTACAGGACGAAGACTCATTATGCGTGTGGAGCCCGACACAGGTGATCTCACTGAGTCCTCCCAGAGCTTCCAAGGAGGGGACCGCGTTATGCCAAACTGACAGGAAGGAAACTGAAAGCCAGGGAGTTGTGGCTCCCCTGCGGCCACGCAGAGGACTAAGCGGCAGAATCAGAACCCCACTGATGGGATGAGAAACAGTGAAAGGCTCTGAATGAAAGCCCGGAGCTTGTATTGCCTCGGCCCAAATCCTTCTCTGCCACTTATGAGCTGTGTTGATTGAGGGAAACGTTTGATTTCTCTGGGCCTCAGTTCCCTAATCTCCTGAGGTTGGGATCACAATACTACTGGGCTGCCATGGGAGTTAAATGTGTAACGGAGGCACTCAGAACAGTGCCCAGTACCGGACTGCTCTCATCAAAACTGGTTCACAGCCGGGCGCGGTGGCTCACACCTGTAATCCTAGCACTCTGGGAGGCTGAGGCGGGTGGATTGCTCGAGGTCAGGAGTTCGAAACCAGCCTGAGCAAAGCGAGACCCCGTCTCTACTATAAATAGAAAGAAATTAATTGGCCAACTAATTATATATAAATTAGCCGGGCATGGTGGCGCATGCCTGTAGTCCAGCTACTTGGGAGGCTGAGGCAGCAGGATTGCTTGAGCCCAGGAGTTTGAGGTTGCTGTGAGCTAGGCTGACGCCACGGCACTCACTCTAGCCTGGGCAACAAGCGAGACTCTGTCTCAAAAAAAAAAAAAAAAAAAAAAAAAAAAAAAAACTGGTTCACGAGAGGAGGCATTTTATTTATTTATTTTTCTTGAGACAGAGTCTCACTGTGCCGCCCAGGCTGGAGTGCAGTGGTGCGATCACAGCTCACTGCAGCCTCGAACCCCTGAGCTCCAGTGATCCTCCCGCCTCGGCCTCCCAAAGAGCTGGGATTACAGGTGTGAGCCACTGTGCCTGGCCCAGAGTAGGCATTTTAAATCTGTGCACAGGTCATTTAAAAGGTGTATTAAAATCAGCTATTAGATCAAAAGGTAACCGTGTGGAGTCAGCATGACGTGATGGAAGAGGCGGGCTCTGGAAGCAGGCAGACTTGGTTCAGAATCCGCCCCCGCCCCCGACTTGCCATAAGGCTTTCCTCATCTTGCAGGCAATGAAAGGAAGAGAGGGACCGTCATGCCAAACTGACAGGGAAGGAAACTGAAAGCCAGGGAGGTCGTGTGGCTCCCCTGCGGCCACGCAGAGGACTAAGCGGCAGAATCGGAACCCCACTGATAGGATGAGAAACAGTGAAAGGCTCTGAATGAAAGCCCGGAGCTTGTATTGCCTCGGCCCAAATCCTTCTCTGCCACTTACGAGCTGTGTTGATTGGGGGAAACCGTTTGATTTCTCTGGGCCTCAGTTCCCTAATCTCCAAGGTTGGGATCACAATACCTACTGGCTGCTATGGGAGTTAAATGTGTTAATGGAGGCACTCAGAACAGTGCCCCAGTACCGGACTGCTCTCATCAAAACTGGTTCACGAGAGGAGGCATTTTATTTATTTATTTTTCTAGAGACAGAGTCTCACTGTGCCGCCCAGGCTGGAGTGCAGTGGTGCGATCACAGCTCACTGCAGCCTCGAACCCCTGAGCTCCAGTGATCCTCCGACCTCGGCCTCCCAAAGAGCTGGGATTACAGGTGTGAGCCACTGTGCCTGGCCCAGAGTAGGCATTTTAAATCTGTGCACAGGTCATTTAAAAGGTGTATTAAAATCAGCTATTAGATCAAAAGGTAACCGTGTGAGTCAGCATGACGTGATGGAAGAGGGCGGGCTCTGGAAGCAGGCAGGACTTGGTTCAGAATCCGCCCCAGCCCCCGACTTGCCATAAGGCTTTCCTCATCTTGCAGGCAATGAGAAGGAAGAGATAAGATAACCCACATAAAGTGGCCAACCCGGTGGCCACGCATCAACGTTAGTGTTCAGTCCATTCTTCAGTGCCTAGCTGCGGGCGAGGGACTCTTAGAAGATACGGACAGAAACTAACAAGTCCTAACAAACTGATATTTACTAGTCATCTGCCATTACCAGTGGACATATATATATATAAAAAAAAAAGAAATTAAAAACAAATGGGTTTTTCTGCCTTGAAGAGGTTTATAACTTAGTGGGAGGAAATCTGCATCTGTGTGGGAAGAGCAACGGAATGCTAAGCGTCGTTTTGGTGACGGATTCTTCTTGGCCCATTTGCTGATGGCCTGTCATGGTTCTGGGATTAACTGGCCCTTGTTTTTGCATTTTCAGCTAGGAAAATACTGAATGGGATATCCCTTTCTAAAGTAGAATGTTGACCTGAAGAAAGTTTTTAAGAATACAATGCATTATTATTTTTAGAATAAAACCCCTTATTATTGAATTCCTTTTGGGCTAGAATAGATCATTTGTGTCATTTGCATTGCGGAAAAATCTTTGTGCATTTAGGACCCCTGGGTATGCCGCCTTGGCAGCAGTGTTCCTGAGTAGCTGCCCAGTGCTTCCAATGTGCACAGACAGTAGTGAATCGCTGCTTTAAATAAGCTCCCGTGTCTTCCTTTTGGGTCATCATTGCCTGACGTACTCAACTTTCTTAGATCTTTTTTCTCACCTAAACTAGAACGTAGCCAGCCTACAGCTGACAAGCAGGTTGGGCTGGTGATTTCCTCCTCTCATGCCCCCAAAACGCAAGTGTCCTTGCCTACTTCAGACTGGTGCCGTGTGGCCTGGTGGGACTAACACCATCATCCCTCAGGGTCGGGAAGGTCTACAACCCTCTGGTACGCCCTCTAGAGACCTTTCCCGTGTCCGCTTTCCAACGGGAGCAAACACCAATGCACGTGCAAACCCAGACGCAGGCTATCTTTCAACTGTCCCCTACTGCAGATCTGTCCCTGTGAGTTCTAAATCGCACTTCTCTCCTTTGCTCAGAGCTGGCCATAGGCTAACAGCTCCCCCTCGCTTTTATCAGAAAACTCGTACACGTCAAGGAGACGAAGCCTTCTCCAAACCTTACCTTTTGACTTTCCTTGTCCTGCCTTCTGAGCATTTAACATGGCGAGTTTCTTCTGATTTTCTGAAATTTCCATTCCTAGGTTTAGAAAGAAATTGCATGTTCAGAGCCAGGGAACACATCCTGGAATACCACTTGCACCACCACCCGTGTCAGCACCCAGGTATTCACCGTGACCTGGGGCAAACACCTTGCTCCTCACAGACCCAGGGGAGGGGGAAGGTTGACAAGACGGTGGCGAGATCCTCACTGGGACGGCCACAGAACTCCCCTCCAGACCCAGGCATTTTAGAGAGCGAAACGAGTGCTGTTAATAATGACACACACAGACTGGGGAAAGTCAGACCCTCCCGGGCAAATGCTCACACACGGTCACCCCAGTGATAACGCTAAGGTTGAGGTCCTGGGAGGAGAGGACACAGCAGAGGGTGCGGGCCCGCCCGCCTGCATGCTGCGGGTGCTTTGGGAGTCAGCGGCTCGACCCTGACAAAGGCACGACCTGAGTAACGGGGACCGGATTTTGTAGCCCAGCCTTGCACAGCCTGCACCCTGCACTCCGCTCTGCATAAAGTTCTGCAGCGTGGCGACGCCACGTGCAGTGGGCCAACTGCGTGAAACCGCCAGAGCTGGAAAACCGGAGATGGGACGACGCCTCGGCCTTGCAGTCAGGACGTGGGGACAGACAGAGGACAGAGCAGAGACAGGCTGAGCTGAATGCCGGATCCTGCTGCCTTCTCCCGTGGGAAGCCCTCCTCCTGCAGGCAGGCGCTCGCTCTACCTAGGCGGAGCTGATCCAGGCCTGGCCACCTGTTCCTGACTGGTCCTGACGTCTGCTTTGGGCTCCCTGGCTGCCCTTGGCATCTGCGGCCTTGGAGGCCCTCTAGGCCTGGCCTGGGGCTCGGCTCTCCCCCTGGTTTACGGCACTCTTTCTGGTGTCCAGCCACACGCCAAGTATCGGGCACTGAGACTGGCATGACACTCCAGGCAAGGACCTGTGTCCTGTTTTGCCCCACACTTGCTCAGACACTCGCGTCTTCTGAGCACTGCACAGCAGGGCCCCCCTTCTCTCCCACTGAGGGCAGAGTGGAAAGTGTTTAGGATGCCCCTGTGAACAGGCAGTGCTGTTTCAGGGCAAATCCAAACAGTCCGACTTACAAATGATTGCAGGGCCTGCACTAGACCACAACACCTGAAGGGTAAAATTAGGATGTTGTGATTTTGCATTTTAGTCTGCAACTATCTGCAGAATTCTGGGCATGGTAGAGTGATTGGCCTTATTCCAATGGGACCCAGAATCAGCACCAATAATATACAGCAGTTGCTGGCACTCAGATGTCCTTAGTCTGCAGGACACTCGGTAGAAGGGCCCGCCTGTGAGGTGGGAGCTCCGTATCGCAGAGTAGTCCCGGGTACAGGCCGACGTCCGCCTGTTGAGAGTGTATCTGAGGAGATTCCTGCTACTGACGGCAGTTAGCCTGACCCACCTGTAAATCCCTTCCGACTCTAACAGAGGGTCCCACAAAACCTCCCGTGGGCGAGACCACGATCCACAGCCGAGCTTAGAGCTGGGGCCGGGGCAGTCCGATAGGGCACCTCCTGGTCCAGCCTAGCTTTGCTCAGGGCCGTGGGCAAGGGTGGGGCAGGGGCACGTCTGTGCCTCCACCCTGGCCCACGTGACCTGAGGTCTCAGCTCACTCGGGCTGACTCCCATTCAACTGTTGGTGCTCGAAACCCCAAGGAGCTCGGAGGCCCCGGGACGGGGGCCTGGAGACTGTGGAGCTGCCATCCCGAACGCCAGGCACAGCAGCTCCGTCCCCCGGGGCCACGCCACGCCTCCAGGCCAGACGCTGGCAGGCAGACCAAAGTGCAGAGGCGTAACCCTGAGCACGAAGGGGCGACTGTCTTAACCGCAATCTATGACGCAGGGTCCCCAGTTTCACAAGCGCGAGAGATGGGGAAGCGGCGGGCGGAGTCGCTGCGTGGGAACCGGCTGCGCAGGCAGCGAGGTCAGCGGAAGTGCTCTGCGACGGCACAGCTGGGGGAAGCCTCCAGCTTCATCTGGTACTGCCCAGGGCCTGGGCGAGAGTGACCACAGTGTGGCTCCGTCTCTGGGGACAACAGGGCTAGTTTTAAAAGCTACTTGGCCCTGTCTCAGGAGTGGGCCGGTTCTGTGAGCCTCATTGTTCTCATCTGTAAAGTAGGCATAACAACAGTAGCCACTTCCTAGGGCGTCGATGAGACAATCTCTATGAATGTGCTGCAGGGTGTCTGACACAAGGGAAGTGTTGAAGAAATGTAGTAACTACACCCGTCACGGCCTGTCTCGGTTAAGCAAGGTTACAAGTATTTAGGGTTTGAAGTCCTGTCTCTTTTCCCCATGGCGGGATTGGTCTCTCATGGAGAGGGCGGGGGCAGAGCAGGCACGTGGGGCCAGAGAACGAGGCCGGAAAGCAGAGGCCGGGGGTGGTGGGAAGGAGGGTGCCGGGGGTCGAGGCTGCTCACCCATCTCCTGGTCCTCCTGCACCCGCCTCCTCTCGTCCGCGCAGGCCTGCAGCCACCTGGCCTTGTCCTCTTGTTTTTTGGCACAAAACAGATGAACCTCGTCCGAGCTCTTACTGACGAGTTTGAAGGCGTTTTTCACGCTGAGGTTCCAGTCCTTGTCCCGCCCATCCTCCAAGTCCACGAGCTCCATCTCGTCCATGTCCATCCGACCCTTGTAGTAGAGCATGTCCCTGCGCAGCAGGTCCTTCTTGCAGGACACCAGCTGGTGGTCAAACAGGAAGAACGTCCGCTGCTGGCTCTTGCCTTGCTTAGTGATTTTGGTCAGTTCCCCAGAATGGATCAACTCTGAGCTTCGGTCTAAGATATCTAGTCCCTGGAAGGATAAAAGCACACCTTAGGATCTGCCCATTCTGATTTCCTCAGGTGTCAGGAACATGGGAGAGGCCCCTCACACAGCTTTTCTCAAGACTTTCTGGTTACCTGAGGCTGCCCACCACCTGCCCCCATTCACAGGTGGGCAGGGCCTCCACGGCCATCGAAACCTCGGTTACTGGTCTCCTTGGCCGTGAAATTTCTTTCTTTTCTTTTTTTCTTACTCAATGAGAAAATGTCACAGTATCCCTATGTTATCTGAAGTGTTTTCCTTACCTGAAACATGCTGAATTTATGCAATCCAGCTAAGATCTGAAAAGGGTGACTGACCCAGACTGACCCCCCAAAACACGTGAGCAATCAGGAGGCTCTAGCGTATGGGAACACAGAACTAAAGACTTCCCGTTTTGTGCCAGGTATAGAGCAGCACCCTGGAATAACAACTAGTTTAGGGTCTTGAAAACGAAAGGCCAGATGACAAATTGTCAACAAGAAACATTAAACTTCTGATGAGCTATCCCCCCTAAATGTCAGAATCCAAGATCAGAAGGAAAAGCACAAATCCAGTGTGACTTTATGGTATTTGGTATGACACTGGCTTTGTTTTATAAGATTTTGTTCTCCTTTAATCCCGGTCACACACAAAGTTTTTTGGAGGCAAAAGAGCTTGACTCCAAAACAGTTCTTCTGTTCACTTGCTCAGAGCAATGCCGTGCCCTAGATTCTTCCCTCACAAAGTAAGGGACTGGGACTCGTGTTCCCTGAGTTCCCGTCCAAGCTCCAGACGTCTTATAAGGCCCTTGTAATATTGGTATTTCCCAGCAACTTTCAATGCTATCACCTACTTCAGTTAAAAAGCTAACTTCTCACTCCAAACTTTCTCATTCCTCTGGGAGAATGAGTTCTGCTCAATTAATGGATGTAAGATAACCCAAATTGGTCTACAAACAATCGGAATGGCACCAGCTGGTTGTTCTTAGTAACAGCAGCAGAGCAGAGAGGTTATCGGCATGGACTTTGCAGTCGGGCCCAGCTGGGTTTGAATCCAGCTCTGCCACGTTTTAGCTGTGCTGGCCTCGGGCAAGCTACTTAACCTTCCTGTGCTTCAGTTTGCCCATCTGTTAAATGGGGGTAGTTAACAGTGGCTACTTCATAGGATTGTTGAGAGGATTAAATGAGTTCGTGTATGTAAACGGTAAACACAATACAGGTACTGGCTACTGTCATTGTTTTTACAAATAAATATGTGTGTGTATATTAATATGTAGACAGAGAGAATGTATTTGTTGGACCATTATTATGGGCTGTGTCAAGCTTTGTATTTGTGCTGCCTTCTATAATGCTCACAGTAGCCCATAAGGCAGGTAATAGTTTCCTTCCAAATTTATAGGATGAAAAAGATTGTATCTTGCCCAGATTGAACAGCATTCAAACATAGGCGGTGACTCCAGAGTCCCCCATGCTACTACCCCCTGTGCTACATGGCTGCATCTGAAGTGTCCTCCAGCTGTCCCATGGAGCTTACTCTCTGACAGGAGATGCCAGCTAAGCAAAAAATCGATTGCAGACATGCCTCTGATTTTATTCCTTCATGGAGGAGGGCTATAAAGTAGCTGTGTGTTAAATCCAGCAATATGTCTCAAAATACACTATTAATAGTATATATACACCATTAAAGCCAAGTATATAAAGTATGAATCACAGGATTTTAAAGTACGCCAATGCCAATGGAAGGTGCAGGGAGGGAGGGAGCATTTGCACCACGTGTGGGGGGGGGCGTTTCCCACTTACCTCCCAGCCCACGATGGACACCTGCCAGCGGGCTATCTTGTCTATGCTCTCCAGCTTGCGTTTGCGCTCATTGATCAAGCACGCCACGTTCTTCATGGCCTCATATGCTGCCTTTATATTGTTGTAATCGCTGCAAGACGGGAAGTTAATTTTAATCTTCGAACATGGACCTTGCAAATGAGGGCTGACAAAAATGCCTGGATCCCTGCTTTCTATAGCAACAGTCTAGGCAAAGTGGCATTTAAATAACAGCCTTTGTTTCCCTTTTCCTATTCCCCCATGAATAGACTACAGTCTGCCATAGGTTGAGGGAGCTGACCCAATGCAATTCAGAATTCTTTGGAATAAGAATGTTTTCATTCATTTCCCAGAAATCACAATGAATGAAAGTAAATGCCACAAGAAATAAGTTTTAGTCACAGTGATAATGGATTATTTTCATGAACACAGAGAGAACAGTCTATCACTGCTTTGATTCTGATAGAACCAGTTTTGCTATATGAAGTACTTTAAAAATCACTAACCATTTTAAAGAGTAATTATTTGCTCCCAGTCTCATCTTTCATGCTGTTCAGGAGAGGACAGGGGAGTTATGGAAATGCTAACACGGCCTCTGCCTCACAACACACCTGCATTCCTGGTGCATTCTGCACACTCAGTTGCATCACACCAAAATGTTGTCCCCAGCAGGCACCTGCCCCCAAGCCTGCTGGGAAAACTGGGAAAACTGAAACACGCAGGCTAGAACAGAGCACGTCCAGGATCTGGAAGTTTTATGTTGAGGTCGTGCTCAGTGTTAATAATTTGGGGATGTGTAAACCAACCCCCCAGCGAATGAGCTGCACTTTCTATTTCCCTGTGGTGACTTCCAGGACAGACAGAGCCAGTGCAAGCCTGGCTGGAATGCATTAGAAGCCTGCACAGCAGGGGGAAAAAGCCTTAAAAGCAGATTCTATCGTCTATTTCCCAAACACAATTCAGGCTCAGCTCCAGGAAGTCGCTGGGCACTGCCCCACCAAGCAGGCCCTGCAGTCTAGACTGGCCTGCTCACACTCAGAAGCAGAGCAGAAAGCAGGAACAAAAATGCCACACAGGGGCTGCCGAAAGAATGGGCACAAAACCCCCAGAGAGGCCTCCAGCACTGAAGAAAGGGTGCAAAATAAGTTTCACTGGACAATTCCAGAAAAGAGGCAGAATGTAATGGTTTTTAGATTTTTTTTTTTTTTGCTTTGTTTTACTTAAGGAAGTGTTTTGTTTTGTTTCTGTCATTTCCTTTCAACTAATTTGCAAATGCTCATAGTGAAAAATGCCCTGAAAAGAGAAAAGCCAACAGTTGCAGAGTGACGTGTGGACTTCCGGCCACAGTGTCTCCACCTTGGAACTCACTAAGCTGCCCATCCGAGTCTTCCAAGAAGACTTTGCTTGCTTTTAATTCTCTTATTTATTTTTTCTGGTTCCTTATCATGATGCTTTTTCATTCTTTCCTTAAAATTTCTTCAAAAATTTGTGGACATATTTACAACTAAAAAAATTTTTTTTTCTTTGAATTTGTGGCTCTCTTGACTTCCCTAATTTTTTTCCACTAAACTTTTCTCATTTTTCTGTCAGAAAAAGAAAAAAACTAGATACAGCTCTCTTTTATCTATTTCGATGAACTCTTTTCTCTTATTCCATTCATCCTAATTCTTTAAACCAACACACCCATATCTTGGGCCATTGGTCAGAGACCTCTTATAGCTTTGCCTTCCAGTTTAATTGTAAAAAGGGTCCCTTTTCAAGCCCTGTCCCTCTGCAGGAGTTCGGAGGCTCACAGGACAAAAGAATGACCCATTCTTCATTCCCTACAGGGAGACATTTAGCAGTTAAATCCCAGAACTATGGGTTTGCCACAGACATTTCCTCTGGGTACAGTCCCTTTTCTCTCTCCCTCTTCTCCCCAGGACCCTGCAAGAGGAGCCCTTGCTCAAGAGCTGCAGGTGCAGAGAAAGGCTGGTGCCCGTGACATGGAGCCTGCGTGGCTCGATTCTCCCTAGAACAACAAGCTCTAGCCTGGAACCTTGCACCTCTGCGCGTCCGGCTCAGAGTCCAGCACACAGGAGGTGTCCTGTCCCCGCTGGCCAGGTGAGAACTTGATCAGTTAAACCAAGCCCTGCCACCTCAAGGCACCAAACAGCTGGGTCACGCTGCAGTGACGTTTTCCCACATCACAGAATATGGGCCTGCCCACTCCAATACCGACCAAGGGGCGTATCTTATGTGTAATCACGGCAAGGCTTCTGGGCACGTGGGAAAATGACAGTTTGCCATTAAGTACGCAAGGGACAACTTTTTGGCTCCCCCAGAAGAGACCATAAAGCTAGGGAACAAGGGCCTGAGAACAATCCAGAAATAATCAAGGAAGACTAAAGAGACTGTGTTTTGTTGTTGTTCAGAAGAAGCTGCGATTCAAAGCACAGAAGCGCTGGGGGTAGCCCAGAAGGGCTTGGCCAGGCACACAGAGCACGCTGAACGGGACATGGAGCAGTCAGTTTGGGCAGTCGTGGAAAGCGGCCCTGCGCAAGGGCAGAGGGGAGCAGGGAGCAGGGGCCGCAGACGGCGCCGGCAGGCAGGGCTCAGAGCCTCGGCATCTCGGCATGGGTGTCTGCTAAGCCAAACCCTGCAAACTACTCCAGCCCCTACCCGGCTATGGTTCAAATGTTTGTGCATCCTCACCCCTTCTAGAAAGTAAGTTTTCAGCCCTAAATAATACTGCCCTAAATAATTCAGCCCTAAATAATACTGCTGCTGGGCATCACCCTGAGCGGCACAGGAGGGGAGAGGAGGAACGTCCTTCTGAAGCTGTATTCACACGGCCCCTTTCTTCTGAAAAGGTCTGTTTGTTAACTGTTGCGTAGCTACAAAGCAGTCTTTATACGACACACGCAAGTTGTAAGGAATAACAACTCGGCAAAAATCCCCACGTACGAGCTCATGACGTGGCTTAAGAATTAGCCCTCTGTTTCCCCATCTCTAGGAATGGCTGTTCCCGAGGCTCTTCAGTGATCCTACTGCAAGGGCTAGCGCATTCTAAATGATCCGAAGACGTCGCCCGTGGAGCTGGCTGAAAGGGGTAAGGCTAGCGCTGAAGCCCGCCTGTCACTGCTGTCCCAGGAGGCGCTACCTGCAGGGTTAGGGCCGCTGTGGCTGCCTCACCTGTGCTCCTGCGTGGTGTACTTGAGCAGCTCGGCCAGCTGCAGCGGGTACTTGCAGATCTTCTGCACCGGCGTGAGCAGGAACCCGTCGATGGCGATGTCGATCATCTGCTGCAGCAGGCGGCAGGCCTCGAAGAAGTGGCGGTACTTGCCCTGCTTCATGAGCTGGGCGAGCTCCAGGCAGGCGCCTGGGTGGTTGTTGCAGTACTCGGAGTAGATGGCGAAGCCCTCTTGCTGCGGAGGGCAAAGCACAGCTGCGTCAGCTTCTGCGGTGGCTCCACTGTGACAGGGACAGGCAGCACCCCGGCCCCCTCTAAGGGACACTCCTGGGAAGGAGGGGGCTGATTCCTGCAAGGAGGGGCGGCTCCCCACGCTGCTCTGCCCTGGTCTCCTAGGTTGGGAGGGGCATTCTCGCTGGCTCTCCCAAGGGCCAGGGGCGCTGCTCTGGGAGTCTGCACGCCTGTCCCATTCCAGCCCCCAGCTGTGACCTGACCACACAGCAGCAGAGAAGAGGGGGTGCTGCTCTGACGCCCGGCTCCCTCCTGCCTCATCACGTCACTTTAACAGACTCCTTGACCAGGAGGTGCCACTGGACACCTTCTCCTCCTCACCATGCGCCTCCTCCTCGATGCTCTAGGTCTGGTTGCCACACACGTCACCCTGTCACCCTCTCACCTCAGACGGAGAGGCCTCCGCTGACCCCCGTGTCCCCACCTTCTCATTTTGAGGCCACTGCCACCCTCCACTGCACCACCTGCCCACCCTGCTCCTGGGCTCTGGAGCGGGCTTCTCCCCCGTCCTCCCTCCACGTGTCCTGGGCTCCCCGCCCTTCCTCTACTGTCAGGGTGCAGTCGCCGAGGCACAGCTCCTCAGCCCTGAGTGTGGCCTTCTCGCCCCCACCGCTGGGCAGCGCACTGGAGCGTCCACCCCCGGCCTTCCTGCCCGTGCCCAGCTCCGCGGCTGGGGCTTCCGTGTGCTCAGATGCAACACGCCCAAAACCAAACTCTGTTTTCCCTGGGAAACAGATTTTCCTAACCCACGTGCTAATTCTTTGAGACTCAAAACCCTACATGCAGTTTTGTTTGCTGCTTTTTCTCTGTTGCTTACAATCAGTCTTGTCGGGTTTTCCTTAAAAATACCCATTTCAACAATCTGTCTTTTTCCACGTCCCCAGGCCAGGCCGCCTCGGCCCCTCCCCAGTGGCAGCAACACTCTCCTGCTCACCGCGGAGAGACACACAGTCCCGGGGCCACCAGCCCACCCCGGCCCGACCTGACCTGGTCCACAGCTTCTCTCTCACTGTTCTTCTGCAGGAACCTCCCGCACTGGCCACAAAGGCAGGCCTGTTACAAAGTCCCACATATGCCCAGGCCACCTACAGGACCCATCTTCTCACCTGAACTGCCACCAAGACATCATCCTCAGCTACTAAAATGGATCCACTCAGAGGACCAGCAGCTCTAAGATGCTACCAGGCCTAGCACTCAGGAAGCGAAGGAGGTGGTGTTGCTATCATTGTTATCATTACTTTTATTGTTCTCTATTTGGGCCCAAAATAAAATCTTCCTCTGAAATCTTTTAGTATTAAACAGTAATAGGCAATCATAAGAAAACTCCCCAAAAAAGTGCTTGAAATATAAGAGACTCTAGATTATTATTAGAAATTACTCCGAATGCAACCGCCTAATTCCAGACTGCATAAAAAGATTTTGAAAAGGGAGGCCGAGGCGGGTGGATCGCTCAAGGTCAGGAGTTCAAAACCAGCCTGAGTAAGACCCCCGTCTCTACTAAAAATAGAAAGAAACTAACTGACCAACTAAAAACATATATACAAAAAATTAGCCAGACATGGTGGCACATGCCTGTAGTCCCAGCTACTTGGGAGGCTGAGGCAGTAGGATCGCTTGAGCCCAGGAGTTTGAGGTTGCTGTGAGCTAGGCTGACGCCATGGCACTCACTTTAGCCTGGGCAACAAAGTGAGACTCAGTCTCAAAAAAAAAAAATTTTGAAAAGACAGACTTGTGATATCTGGGTAAAGATTAACCACATAAACCGATCAACTTAATCTTATAAGAGACATCTCCATTTGATGGAAAATTAATCCAGCAAACAAACAAAAAATAAAATAAAAAAGACTTGTTTCAAAATTACTTTTTTTATGGCATGGGTATATGTTAAGTTAGAATTTTTTTTTTTTTTAAATTTTTAAATTGAAAATAAGGAAACAAAATTACTACTTAACCGGATGTTATTAGTACTGAGAAGAAACGGTGACGTACATGTTGAAGAAAGCAGGATCCTATTTCACTTAAGTGAGGTTCCTCTTTATTGTACTGTTTCTCAAGGTCTTTCAGAAACTTTCTTTGGAATTTGTAAATATCTTCAATGTTTCCAAAAATAGTGGCCAGCTGTGCGACAGTGAACATTCCCGTGTGCTTGCGGCACTGTCGGATGTAGCCCTGCAAAATACAAAAAGAAAAAGCAAACTTTTAGTGTTTGTTTGGAAACTCAAAAGAAATTATTAATATTAATTTGAATAATACAGTTTTGGGGTCCTAAAGCCATGATCTTGGAGTGGATTTGAATTAGTGAAAATTATTTTAAACCTCTGTGGGTCCCTGGTGAGATACTTCTGTGACTATAATTTGCCATAGATGTTTAAAAAAAGAAAAGGAAAGCAAAAAGGGCTCATACAGTTGGATTTGTTAATATAATCCAAGAAATCATATGACGTTCCCAGAAACAAGTTTTAAATACCAGAGCTCAGAAAGCGGTATTGTCACACACTTTTCCCAAACTCTTAAGATAGTCGTCCTCCCATCCCTAATTCCATTTCACGGCTGGGCAGACTTGTCAAACTCGGTGTCATCGCTTGCTGAACAGCCCCTCACCGCGCACTGCGGCCACGCAGGCGGCCAAGGACGTCTTACCCAAGGGCTCTACCACCGCCCACTTTCTGTGGACAGCATAAATCTGCAGATCTTTATCAGAGGCCTGCACTAATTAAGAGCACCAATTAATTCTCTGTGTACAATACCACACTTATCCTCCGTGGCTGGGGTAGGAGTCAGTGGGATGGGAAGAGAAGGCAATCCATGCAGGTAACAGTCACCTGCCAAATAGCATCATGTCATTAAACAGACCACACTGACCACATGCTAAAACACATACCACTCACTATTGCATATGAATTTCAACAGAAAAACTATAAACTGTATGTGATAGCTCAGAGTACAGGCTCTGGGGTAAATCTCGACTCCACCAATTAATTTCTCTATGCCTCAGTTTCTTCATCTGTATTAGGGAGCTTATAGGACCTGCTTGGTGAGAATGTTGTATTAACTGAGTTAATCCAGGTAAAGGGATGGAATATAGTCAATGCTCAATGATTATCAGCAATTACTCTAATTTTCCTTAAATGCCACCTTAAGGACACTTCTTCCCCCATACATTTAAACGGAATAAGATAGTTGGCACAAATAAGCTAAACACGGGCACGTCTATGTGGCTGGCTAATCCCATTACAGGACGGGCAGCTCTCCGACTTCAGCTTGTCTTCGGTGCTGAACGGTCACCGTCGAATCGACAGTGCCGACCTCAGCACCCACAGCCGGGGCAGCTGGAACGACTGTGCCGGGCGAACAACAGCTTAGTGCAGTGCTCACACAAAACCCGTAAACACGAAAAATGCCACAGGAGGAAAAAAACTCTTTCTTTCGGACACACATCTACTAATGGTCGGTTCTCTGAAATCAGGACAAGACTATACAACTTACTGCCAAGTAGAATATCATGACATTACAGAACTCTGGGTCCTCACCGGACAAATCCAACTCCCACCCCTGCCTGTGTCTAACTGACTCAGAGTCTCGCCTGTGAGTCAGCGGCTGGGGGCAGTGGGGTTGTAGACAGTGACAACCCTGTGATTCTTTGTAAGGTCAAGCCAGGATGTGGCCTCCTATGAAAACCACTCACTTTAAATAACCTCAGGAGTTAAGTCCTGAAAGAGACAGTCGCAAAGTGCCCTTAGGAGAGGACTGCCGTGCCACCGGGTAGGACAGCCACGGTCACCTACGCTGAGCCATGCATATGGCAGGTGCCGGGCCAGTCTGTGCAGGGGACCGGCCAGGACGGAGGGGAGAGAAACGGGGCGTGTGGAAGCGTGTGCACCTGCGAGGGTCTGACCGGGACGGAGGTGGCGCGGGAAGGAGACCCCGAGGACACATCTCGCAGCCCAGCGCTGCCTCCGCGAGGGCCGGGGCCTGGCGCCTTACCTCGCAGATGTCCTTGAGGTGCTTGATGTACACCCGCTCGGTGTTCATGATCTCCCGGATGACGTTCGTCCTCATCTGGTGCTTGTTCTCACTGTGCCTGTGGTGGCCGTGGCCGGCGTCCTCGTCCGGCTCCTCTCCGTGGGCGCCGCTGGAGTTCTCCAACAGCTCCTCCTGGTTAACTCGCAGCTGCGGCGCACACACAGACAGGCCACAGGTGACCGGGCGGGACGGGGGCAGAACCGGGGCGGGAGACCTCCCGGGGCTCCGCGTCTCTGGGGAGAGTCACAACGCAGCCTGGCCCGGCCTGCGTCTCTACGGCTTCGCAGAGCCTCGGCCGTGGCAAACGACTCGTGTGCCTTTGCTAAAACTTTTAACGTGGCCCTACCTAATTTTTTTTTTTTTTTTTTATTCCAACAAAGCCTCCAGATATCTACCTAATTTTTTTATCTTTTTTTTTGTCTTACTTTGTTGCCCAGGCTAGAGTGAGTGCCGTGGCGTCAGCCTAGCTCACAGCAACCTCAACTCCTGGGCTCAAGCAATCCTCCTGCCTCAGCCTCCTGAGTAGCTGGGACTACAGGCATGCACCACCATGCCCGGCTAATTTTTTCTATATATGCATTAGTTGGCCAATTAATTTCTTTCCATTTATAGTAGAGATAGGGCCTCGGCCTCCCAGAGTGCTAGGATTATAGGCGTGAGCCACCGCGCCCGGCCTGATTTCTTACAGTCGATTAGAAACAACGACAAGAGAAGCGAGTCTGTATAAAGGCTGGGATTTGGCCCGAAACGGTTCTGCCGCTCCCCCGGGACAGGTGCTTGCGAACAGCGCAAGGTGCCACCCACTTACTCTGACAAAGCTCGCGGGGAACCAGGCTTCCTTGTCCTCATTCCGGCCCCACCACCAGTCCTTGTTGGAGGCTTCCAGAACCTGGATGACATCACCGGCCTTGAAGCCCAGTTCCTGGTCGTCCATGGTCACATGGTCCCACAGGGCCTCCGCGCAGACCACGCTGCCGTCGCCAATCAGCTGAAACGGAGACGGGTGCGCTCAGCGCAGACACAGGCGGGCAGAGCCAGCCTGCGAGGGTGGCGCTGACATCTTCTAGGTCTCACTGGGACACCCCCGTGTTGGACTGTTGGACGGGTGACGCAAAATGAACTGAGGAAGCATGCTGGGGAAAACAAAGTCAGGCGGCATCTCTTACCTGCTCTTAGAGGAAACCCCAAATCCGCCTTTTAAAAACTGTATACACAGCTCCATGGGCTGTGGTTCAGGTATCTAATAAACCTGACTATCTGGAATATTCGCTCCAAAAACGATTTCTGAGCAGCCAAACTAGGGGTTATAGAGCCAAGCCTTCTAACGTCATGCAGGTGTGACAGGAAGCCCCTCACACCGTGACCCGGCGTGTATTATCCATATACCATTCACAGCTCAAGTAGGCTTTCTATTTAGCTTTTTTTTTTTTTTTCTTTTAAGGTGATGTAGTTCTAAATGCAATCTTACTGGAAATTAATAAAGCACATAACGTAGAATTGTGACATATATAAAGGGAACACTAGGCGACACATTCTCAATTAGCAGAGGATTAGCCTTAGACGCACCAGCGACGCACCATTTTTGCCATATGAAAAAATGCACATAAAAGACACGAAACAAGATATAACTTATTACTTTCGGCATGTTAAAAACAATCACATCAAAAAAAAGTATACAGATAAAAAAAGTCATAGATGACATAAGAAAATAGTGCTCGCGTGTGTATGTAAGGCTTTCTATCTAGCTTTATAGTGCACTGCAATTAAAGAGATCGCAGCATGACCTAGGGACATGTGGCAGTTGGCGTGGCTCATCCGTTCATCGGCTGCAGGGCAGGTGTTTCTGCACACCTCCTTGGTTCCCACAAACATACTGTATCACATCCTACGGTGACAGCTGGTGACCTCAGTGGACACGCCAACTTACGGAGAAGTGGCGCACCACACACTCTGCTCAAGAACTCCAAAAGCTGGAGGTGTCTTCCAGAAAGGTTTCTGTAAAAAGGGCCGAAGCTATCGAGTGGTAGAAAGAACACCAGGTGTGGAGTGGGAAATACGTGGCTAATACCAGCTCTGCCATTTTGCTAGCAAGTAATTTAACCTCTTCACCTGAGTGTTTATTAAAATGCGGATAACGAGCGTTAACATTTGCCTCTTAGACCAGTCGTGAGAACGACACGGGACAAAGAAAGGAGGGCAGTTTCATGAACTGGAAGGCACTACCCAAACGCTGAGGGTTGCAGCCCTTACTACCAACAGGGACGAACCTCAGTTATCCTGAAAGCTTAAGCACTTAAGTTTTCCTGGACAATGGCCAGAAAATCACAGTGTCACTCTAATCAGAGTTCTGATTAGAATATATTATTAAAAAATCATCAGAGAGCAAAGTCTGAAGTGGTCTCGGACCCTGGAAGTCAGGTATCCAGTCTCCGCCTCCGTGCCGTGCAGCCCCAGTACCTCGTTAATGGCCAGCTGCTCCCCGCCCGGCTGCAGGTACCGCGGGTTGGCCTGGCAGAGGTCTTCATAGCTGAAGTCCTCCTCGCTGCCGTTGTCATCGACTAGGGCAGAGGACTCAGTACCTCCATCTGCAGAAACTAAACAAAAAAAACAGTCACGGTTTCAAAGACACGGCTAGCAAAAATTTTCCATATAACAAAAACCAAACGACCTTTGATGACATAGTCCCTCAGAGAAAGTAAGCATTTTTATCTTACTCAGAAAAAGAAATTGTTAGAAAATCTGTACGGAGATATTAATCCAAAGGTAGCAGCAGCTCGTGCCGAGAGCCGGAGTTCAGTGGCACATCCGTGAGAGGTGGAACATATTGCCCCTACACGGTTATTGTGGGAGTTAGGACGCCGAGCAAATTACTTCTGATTGAACTGGAAATCTGTTCTCCAAAGTGGATATAAAACATATAAATACAGATGACAATGTTTCTAAGCAGTGTGTTGCTGAGCCTGAGGGGTAAAGATAGTGAAAACTGCAATTAAGTATTCTGCTTCCGTTTTTTACCTGTAGGGCAAGAGTATTAGTACAATCAAAAGCCCTCATAGTATCCTAAGTGAAAACATGTTTGTCCATAGAGGAAAGGCTTGGAACTCTTCAGTGTCAAAATTCAGAATTATATAGCACCTTTACCAAAAAAAAAAAACAAAAAAACAAAAAAGGAACATCTTCTAAGGATGGGCACTGTTTTAAACTGACCACCATTTAGATCAGGGGTCCTCAAACTACGGGACCGAGGGCCACATGCGGCCCGCCGAGGACATTTATGTGGCCCGCTGGTGTTTTTGCCGCCGCTGCCTGTCCGGCTTAGCAGCCGACTCGTCCCGGGCCCACAGTGCGCACGTGTGGAATGTGCGCCGCACTCTCCAACGGCCCTCCAACGGTCTGAGGGACAGTGACCTGGCCCCCTGTTTAAAAAGTCTGAGGACCCCTGATTTAGATAGTTAAATTTTCCTTCTTGCACCAGCCAATGAGCTACTCTCACTAAATGCATAGTCAGTCACAGAGATCTGTTTCTCCTTTAAGGCAATGTTCTTAGCCTTCCTGCACAAGGAAGTCTCCATCACTATTTCTCCTAAGACTCCCCTGCTCGGGGACGTCTCCATCACTATTTCTCCAGGGGAATGACTGTCAGGGACTGGGGGACACAAAGCTACAACAGACTGCTCTGTCCTTAAGGGGCCAGGAGTGCTCTGGTTAGGCTGGAGTGGACACTGGTGGGTGGAGGGGACAGAGGTAATAAAACCCAAATGACTCAAATAAAATAAAACCCGATGACTCAAGCCAGAAAACGGGAATATAGTAAGGGAGGTCCACGCCAAGTGGCAGGAGGGTTTTAAAGGGAAAGGGACCACGCCTTGTGAAGAGGACAGGGAGCAGCTTCATGGAAGAGGTAGCTGGCTGTTCAGAGATTGAGGTGCCCCTTGACTGAGAACCGAAGGTGGCTGAATTTGAAGCACATGCGACAGGGACTCAGATGCATCTAGCGAAAGATGAGCTGGACAGGACAGGCGGGGCGTGCCGTGGAGAGCCTCCCGGTGAGAGCTCAGCATTGGCCTGTTCTGCCGGGGTGCTGAGTAAGGGAGTGGCAGGACCTGAGTAGAGTCCCCTGACGCAGCACAGGAACAGGAGAGGTTGCAGGGACGCGGAGGCCTGGGTCTGAATCCCTGCCCCGGCCCTCTGCAGGCACAGGCCCCAGACCCCGCAACTGCATCTCTCTGAGTTTCACGTCTTTTCTCTTTGCAGAGTCAGGCCCCCGCCTCCCTGACCCACAGCTGGGCCTCAGTAAGGCAGAGGGACTGTGGTGACAGTGTCAGATGCCATGAGGGCTGGACCGAGGAAGGGCTGCTACTGTGTGGGGGCAGGGCTGGTGGGCAGAGCCTGGAGCCACAGTGGGCGGCTGGGGAGAAATCACGGACTGAAATCCATGCTTGGAGCAACAAAGGGACCCAGCCCACGAAGTTTCACAAAATCCCGAGTCCCTGGGAGAATAAACAGAAAAGGGAAGCGGGAGGGAGGGGCCCGCGTGGCAGGAAGGATGGCGATGGCCCAGGATGGCATGGCGCGCCACTGCCCTTGCTTTCTTCAAATCCACTTGCAAATCCACTTCTCTAGGGACTTCACCCTGGGATGTTGGGTCCACTTTCTAAACTGAAGAATTCTTTTTGGGGAGAGATATTTTATATTCCGATCAACCTGACATGCATTTTCCATGCCAGCCCCAGGCTGCCCTCCTGCTTGCCCTCTGCCCCATTGCCACGCTGCTGTTGAGAGCATCAGATTTTGTAAACAGCACCTGGAATTCTTACACTAGAGAAATGAAAACTGTTGAAAAACATTCGCAGCGATGGGGGGTTATCAGTGCTGTGAGCTAAGCCACACGGTGCTATCTTATGCACTGGGTTCTCAGCTCTTCCTGTGACCATGAGGAGTTCCAGGCAACAAACAAGAGAGTGGCCTGGAGCACATGAAGCAGGTGGAGGGAGCGCGGAAAGGTGAGGACACGTGGCTGCTGGCCCCTTCCCGGCCTGGCACCAGCCCCTCCTCTCAGACTGCACTGCGGCCACCTCCCACTCGGATGCCCCTGTCCAGGTGCCCGAGCTCTGGACGCAGCACCTCTCAGCTGCACCTGCTGAGCCAGGTGTGGTCAAGGGACCATGCTTTCCAGCCGCTGCCCTGCTGCCTGCAGTGTCCCCTCTGCAGTGAAACCCCCACGACACAGCTGCCGTCACCTCTCCGAAACCCTCCTGTGAGCCCAGCGGAAGCCAGGTGCACCCTTGGCCCTCCTTCCACGCTTACTTCTGTGACAGCACCTGCCACGCTGAGTCACGGCCCTGGGTCTGCACATCTGTGCCCCAGCTGTGTAAGCGCCCAGCTGTGCACTGGGCATCGGGACAGCCAGGGGGCCTCGGATGGGCTGATGGCGACGAGGGCGAGGGAGAGCGCTTGGCGCAGACATTGTCCGGTTTCCGGGCTCTGACCGCACGCTGCCCTGCGCCCTCTCCCCATGGCAACACCCGCTCCCCTGCCCGTCCCCAGCCTCATCCAGGAAAAGGCAGGGCCTGTGTCTGGGAGGTAAAGCGAGAGTGAGCTGCCTGGAGACGGGGGCTGCAGGGAGGGACAGGTTCCTGGACCTGAGCACAAAGGCAAGAAGTGGACGAAAGCTGTCCACAGCCTTGGCCCCCTCTCCTGGGCCCCTGGCTTTCTTCCTGGCCTCCCGAGGGAGAGGCGGCAGCCTTGGCGGGGGCAGGGCGGGACCTGGCCCGCGGGAGAGGGGAGAGCGCTGTGGGGGTGCGGGCGGGTGGCCTGCGGGGAGCCCGAGCCCGCTGCGTGTGTGTGCGTGTCCCGGTCTGCCCTTTCGGGGGTGCGGCGGGAGGCCTGGTGCTGCCTGCGGAGTGAACTGGGGCCTGTACGACACATGGTGATTGCTTCTATTTAAGTGTAACTTCCGCTTCCCAGGCTGCGGTCAGAGCCCCTGCAGGCGGAGAACATGAGGCTGCCTGTCTAGTGCACTTTCCTGGTGTGTGTGTGTGTGTGTGTGTGTGTGTGTGTGTGTGTGTGTGTGTGTTTGGGGGGGGTGAGGGGAGGAAGTCTTGAGGAAGAAAACAATTTTTCCATGCACGAGTGTGTCTCAGACTACAAAGCAAACAGCACTGAGGCCCAAAGCCTCCCCTAAGCCCGGAGCAGCGCCCAGACCACGAGGCCCAACGACTGCACTGCTAATTGGCTGGAATGCTCGAACGCTCCCGAGCGAGGGGAGCATACACAGACGCCTGGTCTCTCGGGCCCAAGGCAGCAGGAATCTTCAGACGCAGCAGCAAGCCCCGATCTGGCACTGCCTGGCACCACCGGCATCTTTCCTTATCGTATTGAAGCCATGGCTGAGCCAAGAAAAAAGCGAAGCTCTCAGCGAAATAAAGGCGCCCGGGCCCTACTCAGAGCAAAGCCCTGAAAAATGACACCTTCTCCTCAAAGTGCCACTGAACAATGGTTTCCCAGGGACAATTCTCTGCCATCCTATCCAGCTGTCACTGTGAAAGTCAGTACAGAAAAGGAAAGCCAGTAATAATCATGTACAAATCCACAATCCACAGGAGTCTAATGAAAAGGGGAATCTGCTGAAAAAGTGTGAAACCTTTATAGGAGGTGGTGGAATAAAACCCTCTGGAAAGAGGCGTGGACTTGGAACACGGATGGTCTCTGAGTTGTTGTCACGAACACCCAGAAAACGGCTCTGGGCGAGGTGGATCACGAGAAGGCTTTGGACAGTGTCTGCTGCGCCACCGTGGACAGGTATTCACTGAGCACCGTGCAAGCAGCTGGTTCTAAGCACTCGGTACCCCGACTCTCCTGTGCCTATATAATAACCCGGCGCGTGCCAAACACTTCCAGTGAGTGTTTTTCAATTAAACTACAAATTGATCACGGGGAAACAGCAATTGCCAGTTCAGATGAGAAACCTTCCGTGTGCCCACGGAGTGCCGAAGTGCAAACCCCCTGGGCCGCGCAGCCTCTGCACCACGGCCAGACCCCTGGGCCTGCGCTGCGGCCGCTGCACTCATGTCCATCAGCTGCAAAATCCTCAGCTACACATTCGACTTAATAACGACCGATGGCTTCTTCTCTAGGGGAATTTTCCATGGCACAGGGCTATTAAAATTCTCAAAGTGTACTTCTGCAATATCAGGGGAAACGAATATATATTATAATAATAAAAATGTAAATTTTATTCCATTTTCTTTTTCCTTCCTTCCTATGTGATAAAAAGCCACATAACACTAAATTTTGCCAGCGTAACCATTTTTAAGTCTACAGCTCAGTAGTGTTAAGCATGTTCACGCTCTTGCACAACAGATAGAACTTCTTCATCTTGCAAAACTGAAACCCTGCCTCCATTAAACACTCATTTCCCTGCCTTCCCTGACCCGATTCCTGGGCAGCCACCTTTCTACTTCCTGTTTCTATGGTTTGGACTACTTTGGCTACTTTATATGAATGGAATCATACAGTACTTGTCCTTTCCGTGACTGGCTTATTTCACTCTGCATAATGTCTTTGAGGCCCACCCATATGTACTAGGTGTCAG